CCGTCTTCCTCACCACCAGGCAGACCCTGTGTCGGGAGCAGAAATCTTTCCTGTGTCGCTTGTGCCAGGGCGAGGAGCTGCAGTCGGACCGGGTAAGGCAGCTGGGTTGCCTCCCGCACCGTGCCCCGCCGAGCATGGGGAGGGCTGGAGGGATGCGGGGGTGCGTGCGTGGAGCCAGACCCCGACAGCTGCTGGAGGGACTGAGGGAAAAACGCCTCCTCTTTCCCCCCTCCTCCTCTCCCGGGAAGGATTTCCCCTTGCCAAATCCCACCTGGCTGTGTTGCAGCCTGGCACCTGTCTCCCCGAGCTGGGGAAAAGCGAGGCCATCTCCCCTCTGCCCCTGCCCTCTCGCCTCGCCATCACCCCACATCCCCCCGAGGTCTGCCTCCCCGCTGCATCTGCCTGACTCAGCCTCCTCCTCTGTAAGGGGACTCTGCCCTCACGCCAGGCCTGTGCGCACAGTTGCAGAAGGAGACGGAGGGCTATTTTTTTAGCTTTCTCAGCTGGCTTGGTCCGTGCTGAGGTGGGCACGCTCAGCATACCAACACAGGAGTTAAAATCCAAGCTGGGCTGACTTGGATAGCAACTCTTACGGGCCCACGGTTCCCAAAGAGTCATAGAAATAGCGGATGCTTGTGCTTAGGTTTGTATTTTCTTATAGTCTGAAGCATTTTCAAGTGGGATTTTTCTCCTCGTGGTCTGTCTCTGTGGCTAGGATGAGACTGGTGCATACCTAATAGACCGGGACCCCACGTACTTTGGACCCATCCTGAATTTCCTCCGTCATGGGAAGCTGGTCCTGGATAAAGATATGGCTGAAGAGGGTGAGTCCTGGAGCTCAGAAACTTCCCACCTAACATCGCTGCTGTAGCCAGGGCACAGGAGCACTTCTTGTTGACATTGTTGTCGCTCATTCTTCTTCTGGAGGTTGATGTTGGGGGGATTTGAGAGGGTATCCCTGCAGCTCTTGGAAGGCATGCCGATGTTTCCTTAACTAAAGGGGTTTGGAGGAGGTGAGGAAGGCATCCCACAGGTCTTGTGGCTTCTCAACTGTTTGTTCAGCAGAGATGTCACCAAGATGGAAGTAGGCAAGATCTCTCAGTCTCAATAAACCATTTTTTACTTGTTCCTGATCCAGTTTTAACCAGGCTCTGTAACTGGGTTCTCTGTTAATGACTGAGTGTTTCTAATTAGGAATGAAAACCCAGAAGACCAAACAAAATCAAGCTCATCTCTTCTACTGACTGTAATAAAGACCATCATTAATCAGTGACATGCAATGTATGCTGCTGGTGCTCTGATGGGTTGTGGACTGCAGCAATTCCAGTGCAGCAAGCTGGACAAACCAATCCCTCATTCAAGGTTGACAGGGGGTCCAATAGGATAAATCAGTAATTTTGTGGTGTTACCAGCCAGCGGTCCCCAATGCCTCATTATTTTTTGGATGCTGGAGTCTGACAAGCAGCCAATTCCAAAGACAGGCTGTGCTGTACATCCCTTGCCAAGTACAGTTTCTGCATGTTCATTAGTCATCTTGCCTCTCTTACATATTTTTACCTAACGCAAGGAAAGTTTCTTTGGAGTTGTCTTATGAGTTAAAATTCCAAAAATATGTCTAAGCAATGGTACAGAATTGCACTGAACAGGACTCTGAGGTGTTTCCTATTTGCCATTGCTTGTAATCTGGAGGTCAGACAGAGTTCATCTGAAGGTTTTGACACCAAATCTGAAGCATAAACAGGAGTCCTGTTCATAGCTCAACATTGCCCTTTGTTTCTGCTGCAGACACTCAGGCTGGCAGAAAACTAAACCCTTAGACGATTCACGGCTGAAGGAGGGACTGGGAAGAGGTCTGAGTGTGTCAGGTAGTGAAGGATCAATCTCCCCACCTTCACTGTCTGTGTACTGCCCTGGGGACGTGTGCCTGTTAGCTGCT